AGGAATGCCTGGCAGCACTGGCCGCAGGGGTCGTCAAACCTACACTCGGTTTCAGACTCTTGAACTGGAAAAGGAGTTCCACTTTAACAGATATTTGACCAGAAGACGAAGAATTGAAATATCGCACGCTCTGTGTTTGACGGAACGACAGATAAAGATATGGTTCCAGAACCGTAGAATGAAATGGAAAAAGGAGAATATAGTGCTGAACTCCGCAAAGGTCAGCGAAGAGGAGGATGGTGGAAAGGCGGGATAAATGATAAAAAGCAGTTTATGAAGCCCTAGAAACACTGTACATGACATGTAGCGTGTAGTTTTAATTAATAAGTACTGGTCTGTCCAACAAGAAAAAAAGCTACCTTAAGTGTTATGTTGACATAAAAAAAGCTTCAAGAGAAGACTTTCTTTTTCATTAAAACAGGCGTCTGAATCAACCTCTGTAAAGACGGTAAAAGATATGGGAGGTGCTTTTACCACTGTTATATATTTTGCTGTATTTGGCCTATCTAAACTAATGAGACAAATGTTTTCTTGCTGAACATTCTAATGCCTATAATTTGAAAGAAAACATAAGTTCGAAGTTTAACATTTTGAGATTAAAGGCCTTACATTGAATATGTATTTCAGTCCGTTGTGTGCTAGAAAAAAGAGAAAATGGGACATTTTGATGCTTAATTTATTGGGTCGTCACTTTTGTGTTTGTGTATGTGAATGCACCAAGAATAATATCATACTTTGTTAGCAATGTCATTTTGTCAATAAAATGATTGTTTAACAATTAATGTGGTTTATTTTTCTTTATGTGTACATGGGCATCTTCTCTGGTATAATGAGGCCAGAGACATTTCATAATCAGCCTATATGCGTTGGTGTAAGGCACTCTTCAAGACACAAAATAATTTATCTGATATACATATGCTAGGCTATATATATATATATATTTCCATCTCTTCACTGCTCCTTGAAGCTTTGCTGCTGGTAAAACGGGCCAGTTTGATTGTATAATAATCTCGCCAGTTTATTTTTTTATTTTTATTTTTTTTGTAGATCTACATCTTGGTTTGGCGATTAATATCTAGGTTGACTAACCTATGTTAATAAGACACATATTCATATAATTGAATGACTAAATGAAGTCGCTGACGCACCCAAGATTGCTTTGAGAGACAGAAATTGCATTTTTACAAACGATGTGAAATATTCACACTTTGCCTTAATTTATCGTAAATCTGTTAGGAAATACGACTTAGTTCTATGCAGTGAAAGCACAGTGTTACAGAATTATGCAGTAAAAGGCTTCAAGAAATGGGCAGGTGTTTGGTCATTTTACAGTTCTCCCAGTAGGTGACGCCCTCCGCTAACGTGGGATGTGGCGCGATGGGGAGGCACCATTGAGTTGAACCTAACGATCGTCATTTCGTCATCATTTGTAACCATAGAGCATGAATTACCTCTTGAAGTCATCAGAGAGAATTTACGACTGGTCAACAAAGGCACGTGATGCCCTAACGCTCTCCCATATTTGGCCGCATACATGGCAAAAACGAAGTACAGTGCATTGCTATAATTCATTATTACATCATAAATTGTGCTGCGCTGGATTTTAACGACCAAGATCTACAAATCAAGACATTTTAAAACATCCAAATGAGCTCTTATTTTCTAAACTCGTTCTCAGGGCGCTATCCAAATGGGTCTGACTATCAGTTACTAAATTATGGTACTAACGGCGCTATGAACGCTTCTTACAGGGACTCCACCAGCATGCATTCCGGGTCTTTCGGTTACAACTACAATGGAATAGACCTTAGTGTAAATCGTCCCAACAATGGCCATTTCGAAGCGGTTGGAGATCATTCTCATGCTTTCCAAAATCCGGGTCAGGAGACCCGGTACAGACAGTCGAGCTGCTCGCTCTCGTCTCCAGATCCCCTGTCTTGTGCCACCAGCGAGTCTCTGGAATTGAAGGGTTCCTCTCCTCCATCTGATCAGAGCACACCAACCGGCAACAGCAGACTCACCAACAGCAACAATCTCACCAGCAGCAACAGCACACATTTTGCGGACACAGACGAGACCAATGTCTCGTCCGAGACTGAGGATGGAGCACAGACCACCACCACCACACGTACGCAGAAGCAAGAATCTGTGGCGAGCTCGACTACAACACCTAACGACGGTCAAACTCCACAGATATTCCCATGGATGAGGAAGTTGCACATTAACCATGGTATACACATCTCTATTATCTCTTATTTAGGCATGATCAAATTAAATTATTTTGATGATAATTGTTTCTTACGTACGTTTAGGTTATGCGTGGATTAAATGCATGTTTTGCTCTTCAGATTTTCATATTCGTTTAATAGCCTGCTAATGTTTGTCTTACAAAACAGTAATGCTTAGACGGACCATTAGTTTCACCTAAGTATAGGTTAAATAGAGAATAACCACTCTCTGGGAGGTGACTGCATGTAGAACTATTGTGCAGCAGTAAAGCCATAAAATGCAATGGTAGGCTACTAGCTGCACGTCGCCTTGAATACAATCTAGAATCAGCCAGCAGTCCAACATCCAAAATGTAACAGACATTTAGGTTCATTTCCGTTTGATGGCTTGGTGATGTTTGCTCATTGTCTCTTTGCCCTTGCTTATGCCAGATATGACTGGACCTGATGGAAAACGGGCTCGAACAGCTTACACTCGCTACCAGACGCTCGAGCTGGAGAAAGAGTTCCATTTCAATAGATATCTCACGCGCAGGAGGAGAATAGAGATAGCTCACGCTCTCTGCCTCTCAGAGAGGCAAATTAAAATCTGGTTCCAAAATCGCAGGATGAAATGGAAGAAGGACAATAAACTGAAAAGTATGAATTTAGCTACGGCGGGGAGTGCATTTCAAAATTGATCAAATCATTTCATAATAACTGGAAAATTCGACTACTGTTACAGCGCTGCACCTTTCAGCTTGTTGATATCACCTGACGACGTGTGATTCCCCCATGCAGCTCAAAATTGCCAGCTTTTGAATATTGTTATCACATATGCTAAGCTAGTTACAATTGCCATTAAATGAGTGTGAATGTCAAGTGTGTCAAGTTTATACATTCGTGGAGGAAAGCATGTTCCATGTGAGCTATTCGTGCAACGTATTCTAGACCTGTTACAAAAATGATGTACAGTACAACTCGCACTACCCAACTATCTTAAATGATAGTGTAAAATAGAGAAACTTTTGTTGTATCCTTGAACTTGTATTGAAACGTCATGTATTCTTCACGCAACATGCTATATTCTTGTTATGTGCCGGGCTTTTTGATTTCTCGTAGATGATACCTGCGAGAAAAATAATCTTTTCGCACTTACATTTGTGTACTTAGGCTGCAGCACAAGATTACTTTGGGCTCGTGAGATGTCCTATGAAGAATGTCTTTATACAGTAGTGACCAATATGTTATTTGTAGTGCACAACGTGAGTTATGGACGTTCTGTGTTAAAAGTTGGAGAAAAATGTTTTGTCATTGACATGTTGATGGTATCTCTGCCATTTTTTGTATTTGTGTCTAAACTGAACATGAATTGTTCCAAAAAGAAAAATAAAGTTTTCTCTCAGTCATATACATGAAAGTCTCTGTTTGTCTGTAGGCCTGTTTGGTGAGTGATCCCAACGTTGGACCATGCATTACATCGGCAACTCATTTTACCCACCAGTACATCGCATTTATATTTTACACTTTAAATAATTATTTTGCTCTTAAATGAAAGCTATATGTATTAATGAGTCATAGTGCGTACGACTAATAAAACAAAGGATATTCCATTCAGTTTTTGCTGCGCTCTGCGAGGACATTTGTATCTCGTTACAGAATAAAATGGTTTATAATATGGCAATATTCAAACTCAGCTCTTGTGTGTCACATCACAACAATAACTCAACCCCTCGACTTACCTCGCAGTGCTCAAAGCGGATGAACAAAACGATCTTTAGGTTGTTTTAACAATCTGCATTATTTGAATGAAACACAACATACAAATCATCTACCCCAACTATTTTCTTCTGAAGTCCAGTCCATAACACCAACATGTAGCTCTTGGTAAGGCACGTGAGGTCCATAAAGTTAGTTTTATGGTTTTGGGGGGTTGACAATGTGCTACATAATTCACATTCTTGAATGTAACTGACTGTTTAACTGCTTCAGCGGGATTCTAAAGGTTGTGGGCAGCATGCGGAACCTTCTCAAACTGGACAGTCGTAATATCCCATGCTGACTCTGTTTTCTGTCAACAATCATTTTCATAATATTTCTGCTGAATGTGAAACGATAAGAAGTCTTCTTTGTAGTTCTCAAGTAAGTCTCTTCCTTGGCTACAGATGGCCATTTAATTAATTGTTTTCAAAAAAGCATCACGCATTTTAGCCAATGTAGCTACAATTTCGTTCAAAGATTTGTAAGTGTCAGAGAATGCTGACTTGTTAGATTTAAAATGATAAAAATACATATGTAAACTTCGATGGATTTTGACTCGGAAAAAAAAGATACAAAAATAAAAAAATTAATCATTATGTGTTGCTGCATATTTTTCAACCAATAAGTGCAAGGTTGGACCGGTTTATTATTTAGCGTGGATTGTGGAATATATGTCGTCCTTATATTTTAATGAATACCTGCAGAGATAGTTAAAAAAATTCTTTCAGTTTTACAAAATCATATAGGCTTCACAGCAGATGTCCAAAAATTAAGAATAGTAACATTTTCTCTGGTTAAACAATAATACAGGCAGAGAGGTGTTACATGCAGATTTTGTTGGTATTCCATGGTAAATTGTGTAATGGTATCAATCAAGCAATCTGAAAAATTACAGATAATTTTTTGTTCTACCCACTTTGATGTGTTTGCCTGTTATTGTATGTCTGGACTTTTGAAATAAGTGTAACATTTTGGAGATAAGAGAATTTGTTTTGTGTAAAAAAAAAAAAATTTGTTTGTTTTAAAAAAAAAAAAAAAAAAGAAGATAGGGTGGATGTAAGATTGTAACTACAATTTGCTCGTGATAGAAACGGTTCCTCGATTCATAACTATTAAAGTCCCATTTTACCCCTATAATGTGTTTTGCATATTGATAGGGGTAATCTGGGCGCTGCTCTCATCAATTATTCATTGGGAAGGGATCACTCCGAGGTCAGGAGACGAGAGTGGCACACATGCCTTCCCAGAGAAGCACAGGGTGCATGCCAAAACGACTAGCTGGTAATCTACATTTTCGCTCAACAGTCAGTACTGTCTAATTCTCCCAAAGGCATTTTTTTGTACTGAAACGACATATTTGAGAGGGACAGACTTTGTTGGAAGAGTTGTACGAGCAAGTAAATTGATTAGTCGAGGCAACGCTAAAAAGATTAGATTATTTTAAAAGTTCTGCTATTATGAATATCGTTTTGCTTGAATCATAAATAAAAACCATGTCTGTGACCGGCTAATTTTGCTGTTAGATTGATGTAATGTTGCTTCATCACCAGCAGGGCCCGCCTCACACCGAGCTCCCGATAGGTTCTTACTCATTCTGCATAGCTGGACATTCGGATGCGTCAGGTTTTTCATGAAAACAAAATTTAGGGAGAAAATTTTTAAAAGCCACGAAAATGTGAAGCTTTTTCAGTTGGGCAGTTCTAAAGGTTTATATTTTTCGTTTCTTGGGTTTGGTGTGTGATCCAGATCTAAATAGGCCTAATATTGTTAAAATAGCCTATTAAATAAACTATGAGGAAGGGTGTAATCATAAAATAAATAGTCATGAGACCTAGTGAGAAAAAACGAACAGCTTTATGGTAGAAATATTAATGGTGGAAATGTGAAAACATCAACGCTATTATTAGGATATTGAAAAAGAAAACATAGCCTACAGTGACAGTGCGGGGCATGGTGAAGGATCAGAGTTCATTCGGAGGTCATTATGTTCTGTGATTGCTGGCACCATTCTCAGCTTTTGTTGCAATGGCAAAACATAAATAAAAATTGAAAGCAGTGACTGAAATCTCAGATATAAAATTCTTGCATTATGTATTTCAAGTATGCTATTTTTTTTTGTTCCAAAATAAAATATATAAATAACCATACAAATAGGCTAACCATACTGCTTATTTTGTCTAGTCATTCAAAAACATACATTTTTAATGATTTTTCCAATTTTTTTAAATTTAACTGAATTAAAAAAGGATTCTGGGTGAATATTTAATTAGTGGTCTGTATTAGAGGTCTGTTTGTATTCGATAGTAGTGCGATCCCACGTTCAGGAAGCACTAATCGAAGTGTGCAGCAGCAGGATACCTAATGAAGTTGATAAACGATATTTCGCTTAAGGTTATCTTGAATTTTTCATCTTTAATCGATCGTTATGCGCCCAAAAGATTGTGTGATGTGTCCAATGAAGCTGTTGGAAGGCTATAGTCCTGCAGAGACACACACGAAATGAAAGTCCGAAAGAAAAAAAAGCTATAGGCTATGCTCAATACGTAAAATTTTACAAATGGATTTACAATGTGAAAGTGTGTTTACTGGAGGCAAAGAAAATGTAGAGACAACGTGAAACAAGACGGGGACCACCGTTTGTCTAAAACAGAGTGAGGCATGTAGTAAGTTTACCTATCTCATTTAATAATTTCATCCAACTACAAACAATGAATCAGATTTGCGGGATTGCCTTTGCTTTGTTTTTTTTTACAGCTATTATTAATATAACGAAGATAGATCTTGGTAGGGCAAAGTTTAATGATGCATAGTTTAATAACGCAGAGCTAAAGAAGTTGGATTAGAAATATTGAAGTATATGGGAAAGTAAATAACTGAAATGGGGATGATGCACTGGTGATACATGGGTGAAAATGTGAAAAAATCAAGTGTCTGTTGCTCAAGTATAGTTGTTGTTTTCCACAAATTCACAGTAAACAGTAACGTTTGTTTTCTTAACAAAGCTTAACAAAACCGATGATGTCTGTCATCTATATATACCCTGTAGATCCGAATTTGTGTGAATAGATAGTCGCAAATTCGTGTCTTGGGGAATATGTAGTTGACATAAACCCAACGCTAGTGGAATTGGTGATGCACTTTTTTGTACCCACACTGACTGCTATTTCTATCTATCTATCTATCTATCTATCTATCTATCTATCTATCTATCTATCTATCTCATTATTGGAGACATGCTTTGAAAAAAAAAACTAAACATGTGGTGGTCTTGAAAATTAGACACCTGATGGCGCTACATCATTTGTCATATGGTGACAAATGCTCATGCGACAACGTGCGAAATTGATTCCAATTTAATAATTCTGCAGGATCATTCAAGTAAAAGTTTTGGTCACCACATTTTGTTTTGTATTTGTATTTTCCCATGTTCTCAGAGGGAGACAATACTGTTTTTTTTTTTTCAGATGTCACGCAAAAAAGCTGAATCCCTCATAACGCACAGGCTCAGTAACATTTATGAAACAAGTATATAACGATTCAAGAATAATAAACAACAATCTAAAATACTTGAGGATGTGATGTTTATGTCGTTTGACAAACTGTTTTGCTGTGTTACTTTTTATTATGCTGTTTTATTATGCTGATTTTACTTTTTTTTCTAGCAACAAGTGTATCCCAATGAGGCTACATGTGACCCTTTGAGGACACGTTTTCCACGCGTTATTCATCAAACGGAGAGCCTGCAGACAATGAGAAGAAGGAACATGACCTGAAACAGGTAATTTTTACATTAGGAAATACTGTGAGATGTCAGCTGAATTTACCTTTGTTTTTAGATTATATAATGCATGAATAATGAGGAATAGTAGGCTAGTCAGTTTATCCGTATTGTAGTGCTGTGTGGTTACTATTTTTGCTGAATATGTCTACTTTCTTGAAT